TATCACATGCAGAACTCTAACAACTCTGCACATGAAACGAGAGGCCAATCCGAAGGCTGGCAGAGCAAAAAAAGCTGGCTTAAAAGGAGGGGATGGAGATGGGGAGGGGGGAATGGGAAGGGGAATGGGAAAACATGGCCATAAGAACGAGGCAAAGACAGTCAGCGGGAAAACGACAGCAGCAGCAGGCAGCAGCAGCGGAAAATCATAAAGGAAAATATTGAATTTACTGCAAAAAATGCAAATTTCTCCTTTGAGGCAAGCCTGAAATCTTCACTGACTTCCAGAAGTGCTCGGCAGCAAATGGCATATTTGTTTTATAAGGTTATAAAACTTTTAAGACTAAAAGTATTAAACCTCTTTTCTATTCTAGAACAAGCAGAACAGACTGGCTCGGACTAATAAAAAAAAATCTTATTCAACTTTAAGTTTATTTATACATGTTTATTTAACGCTTGTTGGTTTTTTTTATTTTTTGATGTTTGGAGAATGTGGCTATATTTTTGACAATTTCAAATATTTTTATTCGACCTTAAAAGGCACTTTTTATTTATTGTTGTTTTAAAATGTCAAGTCATAGCCGTTTTAAATCATATTTTTTTAAATTTAAAAGTCAATAAAGCATTTAATTTAATGTATTTAACTTGGTTGTCTTTTTGTTTAAGTGCACAATTTTTTACAATGGTCACCTAGGCGGATGAGTGATATATACTTCTTTTTGTGTTTTGAAAGTTTGAAATATTTGTAAATATATTAAAACACAATATAAAATTTTATTTAATATAAGTAAGTTGGATAAATGCACAAAAAATTAACTTCATACCTTAGTTGAAGTATTTAAAATATTTTACATATACCAATTAACATTATTAGGGTATCCTTTGGTGCAATACCCACGACAACTTCCCGGCATTCTGCTGTCAGTTTACGCTCTTTCCGGTCCATCTTCTTTGCCGCCTAGACCAGAAAACCAGTGGTCCTGTCGAGTCCTGCCAATCCCAGCACACTTGTGTGTAATATTGCCACAATTTGCTGGCCAGTTCCAGGGCCCCAGGCAATAAGCCAAAAGCCAGCGGCCATTATAACCCGTGTGGATCCGTGACTCCCGATTCGCCCGATTCCTTCGTCCTTCGTCCTTCCGCTAACATTTCGGGCCCACCTCGCCGCTCTGTAATCAAACATAAAGACAGGCAGCCGAGGGTGGATGGGAAAATAAACAAAAAACAAGAAAAAAACACAAAATGTTTATGAGGGAATACCGCGAGCAATAAAATTTAATATGAGCAAATGATGCGGGGGATGGTGGAGGGGCGGACTCTGCAATAACCACAAATAAATGCGGCTGGCAGGGGCAATGACAATAAAGAATGAAGAGCAAAATCAAAGTTATGCAATGGGCCCCCCGCTGGATGTCAGTGTATGTTCCACTGTGAGCGATAAAATTAACAATTCAATGAAGTGAATTCGAAATGGCAAATCGAAAAGCGAAATCGCAGAAAAAAGGAGCTGGCTTTCGACCTAGAAGGGCATAAATAGAAGCCACCCACCCAAAAAAAAAAGAAAGCAGAAAGGAAGAAAATGTATACGAACACATACAGTCGGCAGGGCTCATAAAATATTGCGTATACGTTTAGGAGTACGAAGCCAGACGCACAATAAAAATTAAAATAAAATAGGAAAATAGAAGCCCACAAAGCAGCTGTAACCGTTACGATTGTGCGAGTAACTTGGTTGGTTTTCAACAAAAAAAATTAGTACATGAGGCCAGCACATTCATTTATTTTTCCTTTAACAAAAAAACATGTATTTTATGCATTGCATGGAACTGCAGGAGCCTTTTGTCATGGGTTTGCTTTCGTATTTGTAAGGATCTCGAAAAATTTCGTAAAAAATTAAGCAAATTGACAAATTTCTTATCTGCAAAAACCATATGGAAATTTTTTATACGCAAAGTTATTTTTTTGCCTTTTTATTTATTATTTGAACATTCCGAAATATATTCAATACCAACATTTCAACAGCATACAAATTTGTGATTAAAACGAGAACGGAAGCTAATTACGAAGTTTATATACCCTTGTAGTTATTTCAAAACCTGTTTTATATTTGATTTGCATACCAGATAACTATTGCGAAAGTGTCAAGAATCAAGTTTTTAAGCTGAGTTCGCACGACTATAAAATATATATACTTTATATGGCCAAAAATGTCTACAACTGCCTTATAAACTTCCAACCAAAATTTGAATACAAATTGAAAAATCATTCCAAAATAGCAAGCAAGACTTCCAAGTTGACTTAATTATTAAAAGTAAGTGCACACAATATAATGTTTTCAATAGATAAAAAAAGAAGATTTTTTTAAACAGTAAATAATAAATTTCTCCTTTTATTGATATAAGGAAATGTTTTCTGTAAAATAAATATTATTATTATTTCCATAATGAAAAAGCGCACAACGTAGAAAACATTGCTTACTGACAGAATCCATTAAAAGGTATAACAAAATGGTTAATTGAGAATTAAAAGTATTTTTTTTTACCAAGTATAACTTTTTAATGAAAGGAAAAAAAGCTACAACAATAAACAAGTCAAAAACTATTTTAAAAATGATTAATTACTTTATACTTTCTAAAACCGCAGCAAAGCTTGCATAAGTTAGGTTTTTTCTCCCCTTTGCACTTTTAATTTAATTTGCATTTAACACAAATAATAAACAAGTTCAAGCCCCAGCCCGTTTAGTGTTATTTATTTTTAATTTAATTTTGCAAATTCATTAAGGGAAATTAATTAAAAAATGGGGTAATCTATCTAAATTCAAGATAACTGTAAATTTGAGAACATTATTGTGATTTTCGATATATTATATAATTTATTTTGAGGTGAAAAAGTGGTATGGAATAAATTACGTAAATTTCGCTGCTTGAATTCCGAGCTTTGACTTAATTTCAAATAGAAATGCTGCAATAGTCGTATTAAGTGTTTATTTTAGTTGCTCGATTTTGTTGTTTGACTGTTGTCTAATGAAATCGATAGAAAGGCGGCGGCCTCTTTTGTTTGCATGCCGTTCGCTAAAATGTTTGCACTTGGCTTAAATGCAAAATTTGCTGATATTTGGCAAACAGGCAAAAGGATGCCCGAGATGTCGTGCTAGTGCAGCGATATAGTGTCAATGGCAGCCACTGCGGTTTTCCAGTAGGTGTTTTCCGGGGTGATTTCCCCCCCCATGCCCAACTAGGTGGGGAGGGGGTGTGGAGCTCGAATTGTTCATATTTTGATTAATTTCTCTGTGCGCTGCGGCTCCTTGCGGTGGCTGCCGTTGTTGCTGTTTGTCAAGCGGAGTAATTGCAAAATCCAATGCGTTTGTGTGCTTCAATTATGCTCACGCACACACTGGCATAAACACACACACGCACACACACACACACACAGCCAGACTTAAGCACACATGCAAACTGCAGTTAAGCAAATAAAGCGCTAAAAGCATAAACTAAATGAATTAAACGTCACAACCGACACAGAGACCTGGCTTACAGCCCCTGCATTATATAAACGTTTATACATGTATGTATATATTTATATAATATGTATATATGAGCGGTGTGGTGGCACAACCACCCCTGTTTTCCAGAAACTTTCTATAAAATATGAGATAATAAAAAGTGAATTATGCTCGCGCACAGCAGCCGCACAACCAGCGGAATGGGAAAAAAATAAAATAAAAAAAAAAAGACAAGCCCAGATGAAGAACAACAAATAAAGGCGGGCACAAACATAAAGCAATAACAGCATCAACAGGAGTCCAGCAACAACAGTTAATTGCAATTGTTTGTTCGCCAGTTAGTTTTTTATTTGCACTTTAATTATGAAAAATAGTTGCCCAGATGCACAGATGCACAGATGCACAGTGTACAGCTCACAGCAGCAGAAACTAATTTTCATAAGTAGACAACTTTGTACTGGCAGGACGAAATGAGGAGGAGCAGACACATGACTTATGACAAAACACAAAAGTTGATGGCCAAGACTACCAACTACCAACCTCCAACTACCAACTTCTGGCCACTCCAGAGACTCAAAGGAGCCGCAGGAAAGCGAATGAAATAAAACGGGGCACTCGAGGAGCCAAACAAATAAAGTTATAAATAATAATGCCAGAAAATGAAAATGAAGATGAAAGCAGGACACTTGAGTGAAATGCTTGGAAACGATGGCAACCCCATGAAAATCTTACATGACTTGCAAAACATATACAGACTTATTAGCCAGTCAGGATTTTAGCGCAAAAAAATAAATGGTATCACAAGGAAATTAATATTATGTGATTTATCAATTAACACCAAGAAATACTAAAATACTTTCTACCAATCGATACAATGACAGCTGACCAATAAAATAATTATTTTTTTACTCTTACAATTAGCAAATGCATGCGTATTAATTACAAATGTTAGTTGGCCAGTGAATTCACAAATTGAAATGCATTCATTAAGGCTGTATCAATTAAATAAATTGAACGCTTAAAAATCTCAATACCAATTTCGCAATGAAAATTCAGCTTCACAATTTAATCGATAAACTTTCAATACAGATTCACAAAGAAATTTGGCAAAGGAAAATAAATTGCGCAATTTACCTTAATACCTTAATGAAAATGCACTTATTGCGAATTCACTTATGAAAATAAATCAATAAATTATTTATACATTATACATTTATACATACAATAAATAAATTAAAAAAAAAACATTTCAAACGACCAAATGAAATCAAGTAACCGATATAAATTCAGGAATGATTTTACGAATAAATTATATAAATCACTCTTTCTGCGAATAAAAGTAGTATGGATAAAAAAGGGTGACCTAATTTTGGTATTACCGGCAATCCTGCTAAAAAAGCAAGTCATTAAAGTTGGCTGTGCTGGCTGCTTCTTTTAATTGTCAATCTGCCATTGAGTTTGCTTTGAGTTTGCTCATTCACCTGGAGAATACCGACTAGTGCACAAAATTGAATACTTTTGATTTTGTTCGAAAATGAATTCCATTCGCGGCAACCGCTACCAGCTGCTCTCCATCGACGACGATGTGATGGACATGTCATCGCTGAGCCTGGCCCAGGATCGCAAGAACATGAAGTCGGCCCGGAAGCCATCATCGCTGATTGCCATGAAGAAGATGCCACCGAAGCCGCCGAAGGCCACCCGTTTGTTCCAGCCAAAGTTGGAGAACACCGGCTTCTCGTTGGTTGCATCGCGAAAGCCCAAGGATGGTAAGGATGCCAGGGATGGCAGGGAGGTCATGGTGGAGGGGGGGGTCCTGGAGGAGCCGGAGCCAGTCCCTGAACCAGGACAACGACCTGGACGTGGACCTGCATCCGGACGATCTGGAACCATGCGCAGTGGCGGACGCAACGATCGTGGTGCCCGAATCTTTGATCGCCAGTCCGGATCGGATCGCACCGGAGTGAAGGCGGTGGTCAAGCGCAATGGGGGCGGGGCCCACAATTGGGGATCCCCCAAGCAGGACATCGAGATGCGCAACAGGGCCGAGTGGCGCCCCACCAACAGGACCAAGTCCACCAGCGCCGTGTCCACCCAGTCCAAGTCGGTGGACAAGGAGGACTCGGTGGAGGAGCCCAAGCAGATCACACTGGACGAGTGGCGTGCCATGCGGGCCAGTGGCCAGAAGAAGAAGCCACTGGAGGAGAAGGGGCTGGAGAAGCAGTCGCAGAGTGCAGATGGAGCAGCAGAGGGACCGGGAGGAGCAGATGTCGCAGGACGACGCTCTGGACGCCACATGCGCCTGGTCGACATTCAGTTCAATTTCTATGATGAGCGCCGCACCCGCTCCTCCAAACAGCGACCCATCCTCAAGATCAGCCAGGATCCGGAGTTCTGTCCAAAGGTCGACGACGAGAAGCAGTTCCCGAACCTTTCCTAAGCCAACACATTTTGCAAGTTGCCCCTTTTCACTGCGGTACGAGCACCTTTCGTATGTCGCATGACTTTCATATCACTGACTTGATTGTTCTTGGGCATTATTTTAATTGCTAATTATGCGTTTTACTGGATCTTCAAAATCAATTTTAGCACTTAGTGATATAATAAAAAAACATGAAGTTAAACTGATTTGATGTCCTGTGATTGAAAATAATAACAATAACTATTAAAACAAATCTAATTAGAAGTATACAAGAACTGACTTGAAAAAGTATGGAAATTGTGTTTATATATCTATTTATATTTATGGGCTACTTTTTCAAATCAATAAAAACACAAAAAAAAGTGAATGATATAAGCAAAAACAAATTACAATTTTAGAATAAATTACAATTTTTAGAATATTTTTTTTCTTTAATGAGTCCTTTTAACACTACAAACTGTAATGCAGTAAAATAATTTTTTTTTTTTTTTGTGTCAAATTAAAACTAGTATACAATACTAAAATTAATGGAAAGAAATTGGCACTGGAAACTGAAGTCCTTCGGCCGAGTAAAATAACTATTTAGCTTAGTCTCATAAATAATGCATTACTGAAATACATTTACCAGTGTAATTGAATTCAAATTTAATAGTAAGACACCTGGATTTTAGTGATTCCTTAATAGTTCTTGATTAGCTCCAATCAAGTCCTTTGATTTGATTTCGCATTGGCCTATGTCCTTTTAATCGCCTTAACATTTTGTCTGCACTATTTTTTGGTATTTCCAGATGCTTGGGTAGAACTTAAAGTCGGTTAAAGGTTGTCCGCAAAGCCTTGAACGGAATTTTCCGACGTCACCGCAAACTTTTCAGTTTTCCATGTTGTGTTTCCTCTTGTTTCCCACGCCCACCTCCTTTTTCAGCTCCTAGTTTTCAGCTTTTTGTGTTTTCTCTGCCATGTAACATTAAATTGAACAAATTCTAGCGAAACAAAAACAAAAGCAGCAACTGGGGAGCATAAGAAACTGTAGAGCTCGAGTGCAAAAATGGGAAATGGAAAATGGAAAATAAAAAAAAATAGGTCTGCGAACTTTTTTTGCGCGGCCTATACTCTGTCCCCTTCTCTCTCTCTCTCTCGCCCTCTATCCCTCCTGCTCGCACTAATTAAAGCACACGTTGACTGTCAAATGGCGGAAAAGAGACAGCACCAGCGAGCGATAGAGAGGGAAGAAGTCCCGGCGGAACTGCAAATTAAATGAAATTCTAGAAAGTTTTTAAGTTCCCTTTTTTTTTTTTTGGTTAGTTTTTCTTGTTTTTCGTTTTCCACGGAGCTGTGTTGGGGTTTATTATAAAAATCTGTCCATGTTCCTTATTTTGTTTCGGCCAAGTGGAGAACAGAATTCGAATTGAGCCTGATTCGTCCTTACACCTTCGCGTTTCCATAACTGGCAACCAATTAGGAAAATAGGAAGATGCCCCAGAGGTCGAAGTAAGCCAAGCAGATCTGAAGTTTTTGTTAACATGATGAATACATTTCGTGGATGAAAGGGAGACTGGGTGCTTGTTAAAATTGATTGCCGGCAAAAAACAAGGGAAAAGCAACAAATGCTTGGGCATGTTACCTTTTTGCCGGCCTTCGAGCCTGGGCCGAACATTGATTTATATTTGTATTGACACTTCTTCGACACCCTCCGCAAAAAGAGGCCGTGCCAACAACACTGCCTCCGATTCTGTTTGCCTATAGCACGAATTTGTCCTTGTCATTGTTTTACAAGCAGCCCCCTTTTCTCACGCCCACTTTTCCCCCTGGAAAAATCGGAGACAAAAGGAGCAAAATCGATTAGGCAAAAAAGAGGTTAAGTTCGGATAAGTATCTCAAAATGCTCTTTGCTGATTCACTTAAGCAAGGCGTTTTTAAATAATAAAAAAAATAATCATGTCTTTGTAAAATAAAAAAGCATGTTTGTTTCAAAATTCCAGCAAACCTGGTTTAAATATTGATATATTTTGTAGTTCAAATAATTTATTGATTATCGACATCTTTCATATTTAACACATAAACTTCTTATGATTTTTTCGTCAGATTTGAATAACGAAATATTTAAAAACTAAGTTTATTTTATTTATGACTATCGCAAACGAATTCTGTGTATTTTAATAGCTTAAAATATTTTTTAAAGTTACAAGAACTGTATGTTTGTATGCTTTGCTTATTTACAAATGAAGGCTTACTAAATTTTCGAAAATATTTTTGATCAACAAAACATGTGCAAACGTAAACCACAAACTAATCAGCAGCATTGAAACCTTCGTTTAAAGTTCGACATGAAAACGTACACAATGGCTTGCATGTAGAATAGGACAGTAATGATTGCATAATTTTTGTGGGCATTGGGTCATACTTGAATAGTCCTGTTTCCGTCAACTGAAATTATTACACAGTCGACACACGAAATTACCATTGATAAATGCAGGAAATGTGCTACCCACGCCCAGTCAGCCCCCTTCCGGCCCCCTTTCGACCCTCCCCCCACCCCGCCCCTTGTTCATTTGCGGTGCGGTCGGAGGACAGGGGCGGGGATGGGGGTTCCGGAGGAGGATCCCTTGGCTCACAATGTCCATGCAAATTGGACAAGGCTGCAACAAACCAGGTTCGACTCCACCACCCAATCCTACACCCAGAAAAATATGAATGATCTAAAAGATTTTAAATGGACTTAAATTTTATTTAAAGGTAAACCTAAAAATTATTTTAGGTTTTTTATTCGAAGAAGAATATAACATATTTAATTTATCAGAACTTACTTGTAAGAATTAAAAATAAACATGTTGTTAGGCATCTACATTTATTGCAATTGAAGCATTTTAAAAAATATATTTTTCACTTTTAGGGCCATTATGTACCTAAGCTTAAGGCCACAAATATAACCCTTTTTGGATAGATTTTTCCTAAAATTGTAGGTAATTTGTATCCATTGTAGTGTAATTTTTTTTCTGGGTGCACTACCCATTCCGATCCCTGTCCGAATCCCATTCCCATTCCACTCCGATTGCCGGAGCCGGGTCATGTTTGTGTGGCGTGTGTTTGTTTAACTTGGTCATCAAGTCAAAACAAGAGGTGGAAAAGGAATGGACAACGAAGTGGTGAGAGGAAGAGGGGGGGCAGCTCGTGCTGTTGAATGCAACATGATTGGAGGTTTCTTTTAAAGGCTAGAGCTGCACAATGGTAGGCACTAATTTACCGACGACTTCCTGCAATTAATGTCGATGTCAGCATCGATTGACAAGTTGATTTGGTCTAAAATAACACACGAAATATCTACGATAAAATGCAGATAATTATAATAAAAATATAAAAAAAAATGAATTACCCGTGAATTTAATTTATAAAAGTATTGTTAAGCTTTGACACTAAGTCTTAGCCAAATTCAGAGATTATTCTATATTCTCTAATTTTATCCTTCCCCTTTTGGAAGTTTTTTTTTATTTATGGCCTTTACTTTGACTCAATAAAAATTGTGACATTTGTTATTTTCCAAGATTTTCCATCCTCCTTGTCTTATTTGGCCTGTTATTTTTTCTTTGGCCATAAGATACTGTGGTCTATTTTTGGGCCGCCTTCGGCAATCGATGGCACCGAGTTATTTTTGACATGTCGCCCTGTCAACGTCAACACAAAGCTGACATCCAAGTGGCGGGCCAACACCTGAGCCATGGCTCTCAGCCGAATTTCCCGTCTGCCATTTTCCATTTACAATTTACCATTTGCCATTTCCCATTTCCCACCTCCCAAGTGCCATTTCCCGATTCGAGAGCTCCGAGTGCCTAATGATGCGACAGGGCGGCGGACGGGGTGCCCGAGTTCTGTGTTTGTTTATCTAACGAGTAAATACGATTTTAATTAAATGTAAATCACATTGTCAAACCACACACACACATACAGCAAGCCATAAAAGTTACTCCGGGTGGGAAAGCGGGAAATTGTAGGGTGGAGAATGAGTGGGAACATCAACACCATCCACAATTTGAGCTACACCAGCTGCCTGCTGGGTAGACTCCTTTCCGCCACAGCAACATATATTGCTTTCGCATGTTACTCATACGCCCCGTTGCTCGGGGCAAACCCCTCACAAATCCAACAAAACTCCATCTTACTCAGCCATAAGCCATGGCCAGGACAGGCCAAAGCACCCTTGAGATTATTAATTAAAAGACAAGAAAACATAATTTCTAAATTTCCATACAAAAACCAAAGAACTCATGCATGGGGCAGGGGCAAATTGGGGAGTGGTGGGGGCAGACGGGGAATGTAATGGAGAAAAAGGGAATTGGTTATTGCGCAACTCTGGCAGATGGAAGCACACTTGACAAGAGATGTGTATTTTTGTCATTTCAGCCTGCAGCCCAGTCTGGCGTACTATATTTTAAAGTTCAAGGGAATGACAAAATAAATTAAATAAATACCATAAATAAACACCAAACAGCAATGCCTTTATATTGTTTTACAACACAAAAGCTTGCCACAATGAAAATATGGAAATATATGTATAATATTCTTCACCTCCAAGTCGACTACAATTTTTGAGCCCAATAAAATAAACCATAATTCAGAAGGAACATTTTTCAGCACTTTATAGAAATTTTACGGACATATAGGTGTCTTTACTTGAATTCTTAAATTGAATTTTAAATGGATAAAAATGATTGCAAAATTCCTAGTTTCTTTTTCAGGGGTTTTATCGAATTGGAGAAGAGTAAAGACTGATTTGAGGAAAACCAGCTTTAGTTCATTAAGGCGAGTTTTCTAAGGAAGATAAAATGGACAAGACGAAGAAAAGTTTGTACAAAGTCTTTGCCATCAAAAAAAGGTTAGGGAAAATATATTTGAAGCTAAAACAAAACTTCTTAGGAAAAATATTTATGCCAAGATCCGGGAAAAATAAACTGGAGTTTTCGGTTTTTTTTATAAAACCCTGGGAATGTTGGAATGTCAGAATCATTGTGGCCTAGTGATGCTGATCCAGAATATATACAATATATAAATTTGGACCAAAATTAAAATACTCTCGCAAGAATACAAAAAAATCTTTAG